GGTTCGTGGGCACAATGTGGACAGCTGCAGGGCAGGACACACAGGTCTAGACCCACTGGCGTTCATCACCAGTCACCCCTCACGCCAAAGCCCTGCAGCCCGAGGTCACCTCTGCCAACCCTGAGGCCAACAGCCAGCATAAAGCACAGCCTCCACTGCAGAGCCCCCCTGCCCGGGATCCCCAGTCCACCTGAGCTGTGGCAGTCGGTCTGTACTGCTTCTGACCATAGGTGGTGGGAAATCCCCTGCTCTGGCCCCGGTGGCACACGTGATGTTGCATTGCGATGGCTGCAGAGGTTCCTGAGCTCCTTTCCCCAGCAATTTCCATTAAAGACCCCTTAATGGGAGCATCACAAGGATACTCCCCACTCAAGCAGATCAGCCCTGCCAGGCACCAGGAGCCACTGACTCCAGCTCATGGGAACCTTTGAGCAACCAGCCCAGACACTTCTTCTTCAAACTACTTGGGAAGCTTCAGCTTCACGGTCAGCTCCACTCAGAGTCTAGAAAGTTGGTAGCACCAGTGACGGGGAAAGAGGAAACTTCTTGCACCCCTCCCTTGCCAGAAGGCCCTTCTGCCCGAGGACTGACCCTGCAGATGATGAGCTGTCTCAGCCCCTGGTACCCCATGCCTCCCCTGCTTCCCAGTCTAGCTCATGCTGCCAGTCCCAATCTCCACTCCTCTCCACCGCACAAGACACCAGATCCCAACCACACCTGCCTCCCTGTCCGCCATCGCCCACAGGGGCTGCAAGGGGAGGCTGGCTCCATGCCGGGGAGCAGAGAGCTGGACTGCTGCCTGCCAGGGGCCTGCAGCAGGGCCCTGCTCCCCCACGCCTCATTCCCCACCGTCTTTCCTGCAGCCTCCGCTTCAGGCTGCTGCTGGAGCCAGGGCACCTGCTCACCTGCTGCGGGGCAGCATGGTGGGTCTGAACATCACCCGCAGCCCAGGAGATGGGCAAGAAACGGGGCCTGAACGGGACTAAAAGAGCCCTACCGATAACGAAAGGAATAATTTCTAAATGGGGAAAGTAGTTGCTTGGGACTCTGTGTGCATCTGTAACAGAAGGTGAGGTTGGTGCTATGGAAAGCCCAAGCCTCGGGGTCCCCAGGCCCGGGAGTGCAGTGAGGGCTGCAGCTGGGTTTCCCCTGCGCTCCCCTGCCACCAAAGCAGAGGTACTCCTGCTTGTGAGGGCTGGAAGAGGAGAAGACAAGAGGCTCAGCAAAGATCCAGGGCAGTTTGGCAGAGCGGGGACACAACACCCCTCCATGGCCTGTGCCGCAGCCCAGCGCTGCTCTGAAACCTGAGCGAGGAGACGAGGACAGCGCCACGGTGTCTTCAGCACTGCCGGCACGTTCTGTGCTCCACTGACTATAAACCGGTGAGGAAAAACCTCTGTTAAGCCACTTTATTGCCGTTCCTGCTGCCAGATGTGTCTCTGCACCCTCACACCTCCCCGTGCCCCTGCAGCGGTGTTGCTGTGGTACGATGGCACCCTGTGGACAGTAAGTCAGACACTGTCCTCTCAGCTTCTGCAGGGTCCCTTGGTCCCTTGCCTTGGCAGAGGAATAGGAAGCCAATTCTTCCTGCAGAGAGCGTTGATTATGGCTGGATACTGCCACCCTTCGCTGCCTCATGCCTCTCAGACATTACCAGTTTTACTGCACAAACCTTGCCTCTGTGCAACCATGTCCCTGGCTTCAGTGTTGCAAAGAAAGGGAAGGCCTAACCCGGCGCCTCTCTGCCCCAAAATGTGCTTGGAGTGATCCAGGAACAGAGCGGATGCGATACTCCGCTCTCCTCTCTTGACTGCAGACACCAGAGAGGACACAGAGCTCAGATCCCCACCTGGCCACCCCAAGCCGAGCCTATGAGGATGGTGCAGGTTGCGACCAGAAGTGACAGTCTGGAAAAGACCAAACCCAAAAAAGTTTGGTGTGGAAAAGACCAAAGCCTAGAAATGAGGGATGAGGGATTCAGGAGGCTCTGGCATTGCACAAAAGGTCACTGGGCAGAGAGACCTTGCAGGGAGGCAATGCAAACAGGAAAGTCAGTGCTGGCATGACTGAGATAACCGCCAGCTCTGCAGCTGAACCACTGGACCACACCTGACATCCAGACCGGACCTGACCACACTCCAGATGAGTGTACCCTGGAAAAGGGAAACGACGCAGCCTGCCAACCTGCCACATCAAAAGTGCCTCAGCCCAAGATCTTGCTGGAGGGAGAAGGAGTGCAGGAAGGTAGCGTCTCAGCCTGGACATGGTCTCACACAGGGACAGGTTGGAAGTGGTGGGGCTGAGCTCCCCCAGCCCACTCCACCAGGGATGTTTCCAGGCATGGGGCAGCCATCCTGAGCCCAGGTGCAGGCAGGCTCGGAGCAATGTACAGGGAGCCTCCGGTGGGCTGTGCTCATCTCTGCCCATCATCTCCCAACATACACAAGGCTGAGGAGGTTCATGAGGCCAGGACAATAGGTGCAAGACCATGGGACTCTTGCCCTCAAGAAACAGGAGGCTGCTACTCAGATAGTGGGAGATGCAACAGTATCAGGAAGTCTTGGCCTCCAGGAGGGAAAGGCTGTTGAATTTCTACTGGTACTTGACTTCTGACTGGCCTCTCCCCACAGCCACCACGGGTGCTGGACTGTCCTGCAACAGGAACCACCACAGGATTGAAGTCCTGGGACTTCCTGCTTGCTAGGCTGAAGGAAACCTCACAGCCCTCCAGCACCAACAAAGCTAGAAAAGATGAAAAAGGACATGTAGTCCCACCAACACGCCTACCACAACACCATGGTGATCACTGGCCTGATCGGCCACTTCACAGAAAATCCAGCACACCCAGTCCTGACCCTTCCCCTCTTCCCCAGCAACACAGGTTAGGCTCTGACTGCAAAACACGCCGCACAGGGTTAGACTCCACACCGAGCCTTGGTGACTCAGCTGGACAGCAAGCAACTTTGGACACTCACCTCATGTTGGAGGCCAAGGGAGTACCAAAGCTGTCCTCTGAGCGACAAGGGCTGTGCCGAGCACCCTTCCTTCGTCTCCCCTGCTCCTCCTCCCTCTCTGTCCAGGGGGCATCAGTGGCTGAACTGGTCCCAGAGTCCGGCTCCAAGTGAGCCAGAGGAGCAAAGTTCTCCTCGATCAGCTTGGCGCTGTCTCGGATCTGTCCCTGTATTTCTGGGGTGAGGGTTGGGATGTCAAAAGTGAAAAAGGTCCCATGGGTGCGGGCTGGGGAGGAGAGGATGTCAATGGAGTCCAGGCTGGTGTAAGACGTGCCTTTTGCTCGATGGGACTCCATGATGCTCTCAAAATGCTTGCTGAAAGAGTCCATGCCATCCTTGGAGAGGCTGTGCCCTAGGAGAAAGGGCACTGGAGACTTGAGCATACCCTGTGTGTCTCGGTCCATGATCCTAGAGGAAAACAAAGTGAGAAGAACTGGTCACTGAGGAGCAAGGGATCAAAGCCCGGAAACAAAAGCCCACGCGCTGCTCCAGAAGGAAACTGGGGAGGGCAGAAATCTGAACATCTGTAGACCTCCAAGGAAACGCCTCGCCTGCCCAAGACATCATGGGAAGAGGGACTGGGCTGGCCTCCCTCCAGACATATGCTTCTCCTTTAATATGCCACAGACTTTTGTTTCTTTAGTGGCTCATCCTCATAAGAAGCTTATGAGATGGCTACTGCTCCCAGTTACTCGACCTGAGCTTAGATCCAATAAAGGGCTCACGCACCAGAAGCAAGATGTGGTTCAGCTCCATTTCCAACCAAATCTGGAAGTGGCTGAATTTTCCATGAGCCCTCAGAGCTCCCGGCACCTAGAAGGCTCCTCCTGGAGCTGCTCAGGACAGCGTGACACCTTCCTCCATGAATGCAGCACCATGGTCGCTGAACACCACGCTCAGAGCATGACCAACACCCACCTGCAAGGTCTGCTGGCTGGTGCCAGGAGATGTCTGGGAGCCAGCACAAGGCGATGCTCAGCCCCAGGTTTCCCCAGGCAGTACGGAGGGAGCCTCAAACCCAGCTCTGGGCTCGGGGACCTGAGCTGGCCCACGTCCTAGAGGCCAGGCTTGGTCCTGGCTCACCATCTTGTCAGGGGTCAGCCCTGCAGGAAGGCCCAGCCTGTCCCCAACGCAGGTCTGGGTCCAACCCAATACAGGAGTTTCTAAACCCTCAAGCCCTGAGTGTTTTGTCCTGTAAATGAGGTGAAGTGCAGCCTGCCCATCCGCCTGAGCACATGACAACAGTGACATTTCCAACCCCGGGAACATCAATGCTTCAGCCGTACAAGCATAAACACAGCCCTAAAAGCCTACTTTACTCATAAGCCGCTATCATTTTATTAAAGCGACAGAAAAGCACTTGTTATGCCACTCTCTCCTCTGATTAAAGGAGAGGAACTGCTCTAGCTTGTCATAACATTTGTTATGAACAAACAGCTTCGTACAGAGGGCTCAGAAGATGCGTTGCTGTTACAAGCACCAAATGATTTTCATTCATTAGCCTTCACATACCGCTCAAAAATCTTACCCTGATTACTTCAGCAGGCCAAGAGCTGGCAGCTTGACTCCCCCAGAGTGCCGGCTGGCTTCAAGGGGAGCGCAGCTAAGCCAGATGCAGGTAAGCGAGGCAGGACGGAGGCTGCTCTCGCCCATCCACCACTGCTTCCCTGGCCGTGCAGCACTGCTCAACGCTCTTACCATTCCCGTAGGAGCCCCAGGAGCAGCCACCTCCGGGGTGGCTTTCTAGTGAGGAGGAGACAAAAGAGACCTCTTTAACATCTGCAGATGAGCTTTACAGATGCAAATGTGCATTCACTGTCCTTACCACTCGGCTGTGCGCTACCAAACAGAGCTAACACTGCTGACTTCATTTTGCACCTTGAATCCATAAGGAGGGCAACAGGCTGTGCCAGGGAGGACAACAGCAGCAGACAGAAGGGACCTTTTTCCCAGGAGAGGGAGTTGGGCTCATTCTTGTGGTCAAGTATATTGCCACCAAGCCACAGAAAAAACACAGCTGGTTTTGTCCACACCATGTGAGCTCTGGAAGCAATCTCTCCACCCCAAAATATCAAGCGCAAATTTGTTCAGCTCCAGGAGGATCTGGTTGCAGCAGCATGGGCACAATGCTGCCTGCACACACCACTCCTGCTGGGACCTAGACGCTTCATCAGTCCCCACTGCGCTGCCCAGCCCTCCCCGGCTGCCGCCCCCCCGCGCCCCACTCTAGCCCCCCCGGGAAGGGTCACCGAATGTCACCAAACCAGACAAACGCAGCTGGGAGGAGCAGAGGAGGGGAGGAGACACAGATGCTGTAATCGAGCATCTGCGCAAGGGCGACAGGCAGCAGGAAAGCAAATAGGTTTCCAGCCTTGAGCTGGGGCGGGAGAGG